TCAAGTGCCCCAGCAATCAGAAAATGGCTAAATTTGCCAGACTAATTTCAACACAGTGCTACTAAATCTGATTAGGAACAAAGTCCCTAAAAGCTTTGTTGGAAAGGTCAGGCAAGCAAGCAAGCAACATCACAAATTGGAAGCTGGCAAGTCAGAGCACAGAACAATTTTATCTGGAAAAGAAAAAAAAAACAGTCTTATTTTATTCGTCTGATTCCATGATTCTCAGTATTGTCACCTCTCAAGAGTGGTTTAAGGGATCCTGTATTCCAATGTCATTTCCAACTCCCTGATCCTATGATTTAGAAATGGCATTTTTATCTTAATCCCCAGAATAACCGTTCACTGTTCTTTTTTTTTTAAGAAAAAAAATCAACTTTTTAATTACTTTCTAGGTCCAGATTATTTGAGGTCACAGAAGGAAGAGAGAACTTTGTATGGGACATTTCAATGGTGGGATTCAAAAATTTTTACTACCAGTTCTGTGGGTGTGGCTTGGTGGGCGTGGCATGGCATGGCTTGGTGGGTGTGGCTTGGTTGGCATAGCAGGGGAAGGATACTGTAAAATCTCCATTCCCTCCCCACTCCTGGGGGAAGGAAATCCCCATTCCCTCCCCACCCCACTAACCTGCTTTCCAGCTCCATTCTCCTGTGTAGGGCAACAAAAGGAGACCCAGCCGATCAGCTGGGACTCGGGAGGCAGAGAATAGATAGGGGCGGGGCCAGTCAGAGGTGGTATTTGCTGGTTCTCCAAACTACTCGAAATTTCCGCTACCGGTTCTCCAGAACTGGTCAGAACCTGCTGAATACCACCTCTGGGTCATTTGAACAGAAGCAAAGTGGTGCAGCTGTGGGTGACCAATTTTTAAGAAGAGCTGTAACCCAACTTTTCTCAGCTGTGCAATGCAGTTTCTTATCTTCTGAAGAGGGCCTTGCAAAATTATTGCATTTTTTTCCTAAAATGCATATGGCTAGTATTGGGGAATAGTCAACTGTATCTACCACAATGCAAGAAGTCAAGGTCATCCATCAAATGTAAAAGCCACCAAATTTAGGGCCAAAAGAAGGAAATGCTTTTCCGTGGGGCATAGTAAAGGTGTGGAATTCACTACCAGCTATTGTAACAGCAACCAATTTGGATGGGTTTAGAGAGGGACTAGACAGATTTATGAACAATCAGCCTATCAATAGCTATTATTAACAGCCATTAACAAGCACACATAGATAAACAACAGCTACATAACATTGAAAAGGGACAATCAAAAATCAAAAAAAGGAAACCAAAAGAGCAAAACACCTTTTCACCAGTAATAAACACCCAAAACAGCACATATTAACATCAATACTAATGTAAAATTCAAGAAATAATCAATAATCAATGAACCACCAACTCAAACAAGTTAACAGTCAACAACAGCCTAATCAAGGAACTATCAAGAACACTCCCACCAACATTGAGACATTAGTATATAAAAAGAGAGCAAGCCTCCCTCCCTTCTAGCACTGATGATGTTACCTAGTTTGGTAAAGAAACATTTCCAAGCCAACAACCAAACTCAGAGAACACCCAAGGATTCCATAGTTGAACTTTGAGCCACAAATGTTTTCCTGTTTTATATATTCCCCTGGTTACTGTATATTAAAAGTGGAAGAGGATTGTTGCCTTCCCCGTTCAGCTTTCCACAGATGTCCTATAAATTAGCCATTATTTGATACAGAATATGGAGTACATGGATCTGTAATCTGACCCAACAGTTCTTCTGATATTTCTCCATTAACTGATATCTCAAAAGTTCATCTTCTACCTTCTTCCAATTCTCTTTTCTTCCTTTCAATTGTTTGTTAGCAAAATTAAGTCACTTCTGCATAACACAACCCAGGTTGAATTCTTTACACTGATCTCATGATCAGCTGCAGAAAGCCCCGATGAGTTTGATGGTGATCTTCACATGCTGTGGGTTAGGGTTGCAATTCATAACCCACCAAATTACAGTAGTTCTCAAGTTACACCAGTTCATTTAATGACCATTGAAAGTTACAATGGCACTGAAAAAAGTCACTTATGACTGTTTTTCATAGTTATGACCTTTGCAGCATCCCCACGATCATGGGATCAAAATTCAGATGCTTGGCAAATTGTTCATGTTGTGTCCCAAGATCGTGTGCTCCCCTTTTGCGACCTTCTGACAATGGAGAAGCAAGATTCACTTAACAACCAGGTTACTAACTTACCAACTTCAGCGATTTACTTAATAACTGTGGCAAGAAAGGTCATAAAATGGGGCAAAACTCATTTAACAAATGTCTCACATAGCAACAGAAATTTTGGGTTCAAGTATGGCTGTAACTCAGGGACTATCCTGTAGACCCCAGCAATGTACCTGTCATGCCCCCGCCGGAGTCTGAATTCGAGGTGGAAGATGAACAGCTGATAGGGAGCGCGGAAGTGGCTCAGTTGGCTGTGGAGGAAACTGGGGAAGGGCAAAGTCAGGCTGGGCAGAGCAGAGAAGAGGTAGAACAAGGGAGAGGGGGTTCAGAGGAAGACCAAGGCCCACCCCTTCTTCATCCTAGGGCATGCAGGGAAGAACGGAGAAGGGAGCAATGTGGGTCGTGTGGCTTACGAGGGAGAAAAGGCCCCTGATTCCTTTCACAAGGCACACCTAGGGATGAAGTTTAAAGGAGAGGCAGATGGGAGGGACGGTTGTTTGGGAACAAACATTGAGTTTCTCTTGTGTTGGCTACGGTGATCTGAGTTTCTGACATCCTCCTAACTGGTTTGATTTACTGCCTTGTTACTTTATTTCTGGAACTCTGTATCTTGCTCTGCCAGATTTATTACCTTATTTTGCCTTGTTGGATGTATAGTTTAAGTTTTTCAGTTTATAACATTTGAACTGGAATATCTGCAGCCAAAGACTGCAGGTTCTTTGGGAGAGTTGGTGCAGGTTCATGGGAGCATTTTTCTCCAGTAACGGGTTGGAGCTAATAACAGAACTCATTCTTATTCTCTGGTTGTGTTGCCTTTGTGCCACGCCCGGGTCATCACAGTATTTTTCAGTTTAGCATTGCATCGGAGTCCATACCTCTTCCTAAACCAAAGCACTAACCCAGAAATCCCAAGATTGCCCTTATAAAAAAATATTCTTCAATTCCAGGCAGTCTCTAGCAAACATTTATTTTTCTTCTTAAATAGCTTGATCCTGATCTTTGCTTTCTTCTGACATTTCCCACTAATGCAAGGGCCAGTGAACTGAAGAGGCTTCCTGGATGACTGTTGCAACTGCAGAGGCCTTTGTTAACAGCTGGATTTATGTCAGAAGTACCATCTTCAGATTCTCTTTGCTAGATGCCAACCAGCCATAAACTATGGGGGCGGGGTGGAGTTGTTGGAATTACAGGGAAGGAGGAAACCAAAACTACTCATTGTGCTGTCCTGAGACATCGGCTCACCGCCCCAAGGCCAGGGGCCTGGGAACAGAAGTGCAATGGCTCACCATCAAGCCCGCCAATGCAGGGACCATTAGCAAAACAAATTCTTTGAATGTAACCGGACAATAAAGAGATAACATGGAGAAGGAACTGGAAAGGGAAAGTTAACTAGGGAACTCAAATGTTAGTTCTGGCTTTGCTGTACTGTAACCACTTGGTCTTCCGCAAAAGTATACTTTCTCAAATGGAGTTGAAAATATTTCTTTACTAAGAAACCAATTTGACAGACTCTTCAGCTGATTTTCATTACTGCTACATTTTTACCCCGCCTTTTCTTCAAAAAAATTGACAATTGTGTACACTGTCAATGCTAATGCTCACTTCCCATTTGCACCTGTATTTGAGCCCGGTTCTCTACAATTTCTATAAGCAATGTGTATTATTTTCACCACATTACTTTAGATTAATCGTCTGCGCTGAAACTTGTCAAGCTGAACAAGTGTGAGAATTATGTGGGAACTCAATCCCTGCCATCTTCAGGAACAAATATAGGTTGACAAGATAGTAGCTCGCTGGTTTGGAAAGGAGAAGGCAGTCTATCTGTGTGCACCTTGTGAGGTTTTGTTTGTTTTTCCTGACAACCATGAGGCTTCCTTGCTTGTTTGAAAAATACAGCTGCAGTTTGGTTCTTATGCTGTCACTTGAGGCAGCTGAATTGTTTCTCACAATCCCTCTGCCCCATAGTAAATCCTTTCAGTGGCATCATCAGTGGAAAATGTGGAATCCCTGCTAGTCAATAGTAGACTTTAGTCAAAAGTAGATGGGGACTCTATGCAATAAAGACATCACAAGAATTTTTGTAAGACTTCATTCCATTAAATGATTGCCAGTGACAAGGATTGTTCAATATTCTCAAAGCTTGAAGGGTAATTTGGTGAGTTAATATCCGTCTTTCCCCATCTTCCACTGGGTTCTTTATGGTTCTCAAATTAGGAGACATGTCCTCCCCCTTAATGTTACCAAAATTCTCCTCTACTTTAAGAAAATATAAAATTACCTCCTTCATTTTTTGCCTTCTCCGTAGGGATACCCTCCAGCTGTGAAAGAGTTCTCTCATAATTCATGGTCAGTATGATCAAAAACTCCCTTTTTAATGACCCTGTAATTCCTTAATTTGGGGTAGAGTCAGGCGACAGGATGGAGCTGAGAATTTACTGGCCGGATGCCCTTCCTGACACCACATGGAGTTTGCAGCAGATATTTTCCTTTGTGCCCTAGGCGAGAAATATCTGCCACTCCCTAGGATTGAACTGTCAACCTTCCAGGTGGAAGGTGAGTGTCTTCACCACTAAGCCATCATGCCACTCATGACAACTACGATCAATGGATAAATAATCATATATCTTAGAATTGAAGAGAATTATAATGCTGGAGGGCATCAGCCTTGGTAAGACTGGACAAGAAGACCCACAAAATTCATCCACTGGCCTCTAGGAATTGAATTCTATCAATCAATCCCATTCTTGTGGACCATTTGATTGACTCTGTTGTCATTTCTACCTTGTGTGAAGGAACCTACGTGATGACAGTGACAGCCAATGATGCCGATGACAGCACCACAGCAAATGGGATGGTGAGGTACCGCATTGTGACTCAGACTCCACAAAGTCCATCCCAGAATATGTTTACCATTAACAGCGAGACTGGAGATATAGCAACGGTGGCAGCAGGACTTGATCGAGAGGTAAGAGAGCAACTTCTTTGATTAACAAAATAAACAGTTAGTAGGCTCTACTTCAGAGATGTCAAACTTGATTTCATTGAGGGTCGCATCAGAGTTGTGTTTGATGTTGGGACAGCGGGGGGCATATCCGGGGGCATGGCCAGCTTGACATCACTCGTGTCGGGGGCACCTGTGGTAGCCCAGGTGGTGCTGGGGGAATCTATTGTCTCCAGCTCCTTTTTCAGCTGCGATGGCCTCCTGCAGCCCTCTGCCAGCGAAAACGGAGCTTCATTTTCTTTTTAACATGTTTTTAATTTTGTTTATATGCAAAAAATCCATTCCATTTCAATCATGCGTCAATTAGGTACATATTTCAAATTGCTTATCCATTATTAATAATATACTTCTTATTCATCTTAACAACGTAACAATAATCACACTCCCATGTACATAAGTATAATCTAATATATCTATTATATTAATTCCTCTTACTACTTTATAGATACGTCTAATCCCTTTTAGTTTATTCTATTTTCTATCCATTGGTTAAACAAATCCCATACCATGTAATATTCAGATTATTCTTTTTCTTTAATTTCTAGTGTCAATCTATTCATTTATGCACATTCAAATATTTTTTCAATTGTTTTTCCCTCTGTTGGTATCTTATCACTCTTCCAGTTTTGGGCAAATACAATTCTAGCCGCTGTTAAAACATGTATAATTAAATAAGTCTTTTCTTTACTGTAGCCTTCTGGCACCATTCCTAGTAAAAATATTTCAGGCTTCAAATCTATATGTTGTTTAATAATTTTCTCCAACCATGTATGTATCTTAACCCAATACCTTTTAGCTTCTGTGCCAAGTCCACCACATATGATAATATGTTCCTGGTATTTGATGACATTTCCAGCATTTAATTGATTTATCTTTAAATATTTTCGCTAATTTTGCTCGTGTTAGATGCCATCTATAAAACATTACAGAGCTCCATTTTCACTGGCAGAGGCACTGTGGGCCGCTCCTTCGCTGTTTCCAGGGTGGCCCTGTAGGCCAAATCTAAGCACTCCGCAGGCCCGATCCAGTCCACAGGCCTTGAGTTTGACACCCCTGCTTTACTTCATAGCCACAGGTAGTCCTTGACTTAAAACCATTCATTTAGTGATTGTTCAAAATTACAACGGCACTGAATAAAGTGGCTTATAATCATTTTTCTCACAACCATTGGAGCATTCTGTGGCGCAGTGGTTAGAGTGCAGTACTGCAAGCTACTTCTGCAGCCAGCTTGCCTACAATTTGCCAGTTCAAATCCCACCAGACTCAAGGTTGACTCAGCCTTCCATCCTTCCAAGGTGGGTAAAATGAGGACCCAAATTGTTGGGGGAGCAATAGGCTGACTCTGTAAACCACATAGAGAGGTGTGTAAAGCACTATAAAGCAGTATATAAGTCTAAGTGCTATTGCTATTCCCTGTGACCATGTGATCAAAATTTGGAGGCTTGGCAACTGGATCATATTTATGATCGTTGCAATGTCCCAGGGTCATGCGATCCCCTTTTGCAACCTTCCAACAAGCAAAGTCAATGCAGAAGCCAGATTCACTTAACAGCCATGTTGCTTACTTAACAGCTGCAGAGATTCACTTAACAAAGGTGACGAGAAAGTTTGTCAAAGGAGGCCAAACTTATTTAACAACTGTCTTGCTTAGTTACGGACACTTTGGGCTTATTTGTGGTCATAAATTGAGGATTATCTGTATTTTTTTCCTCTCCAAAGTAGATTAATTCGGTCTATACAAGGTGTCTTGTTGAAGAATAGTCTCAAATAAAGATATTTTAAATTCCAGTGTTTCCTTTAAGCAAATGTGTCTTATACGTTTGTTTGGTTTTTTGTGGTAGTAGTTCTTTTCTGATTTTCTTTACTATGTTTTATCATCTTTTAAGTTTTTGTTTCACTGAAGAAGCAAAAAAGGTCAAATAAAACATAGATAATAATTGAGCACCCCTGTGGCCTTCAACCTATCCCAGTGCCCAAAATCCAGCACACACTTAAAGTGCTTCCAAAAAAAGCCTGAGTATAGCCTAATCTATCTGAAGATTAGGAGCATATGGCACGCTGCATATGCTCTTTTAAATTGGGATTGTCTGCCAATTAAGTATTTATTCTTTTTACTCAAGCAGTAAAGCCTGACCTACATCTGTGAATTTTAACGTTGTTGCAGAATGATGGAACAAACAGTTTATAGAGGAATAGCAATAGATGCAAAACAATTTCTTCATTCTTCCTGCTTTTCTTCTGCTATCTATCTCCTAGCCACTATTTTGCCTTTTGATTTGACAGACATGTCCAGAATTCCACCAAGGAGACCAATGGTTGGATGCTGTAGAAGGAAAATGAAAATTAGGAGAGGACAGTGCATTTTTCCTTTCCCCCCTCCTCCTCCTCTTCTTTTTCTTCTTCTCCTCCTCCTTCTCCTCTTCCTCCCCACCTCCTCCCTCACCCCCTTCCTCCTCCTCCTCCTCTCTCCTTTCTCTCCATCCCTCTTCCTTCTTCCATTTCCCTTTCTTCTCCTTTTTCTTACATTTTCTGACTATACCCAAATTATGTTCTGATTTTTTTTTCATTTTATAATCAGCATGTCCTGTTTTTCCTATCCTAGAACCAGAGGTCACAAATAGAGGTTGGTGAGGGGAGGAATTAAGTTTCCTTTTTCAGGATTTCCAGAATCCTGCCTCAAAGTTTGAAAGCCACCGACCTGAAGAGCCCAATCTGTTGAACGTCGAGAAGCTTATCCCAAAGTCCCTCTTTTTCACAGGGGCCTAGCAAATTTATTTTATTTATTTATCTTATTTTATTTAGTTTAGTTTGTCAAGCATGTATGAGAAAACAAGTATAAGTAACATAACATATAAACATAGGTATAAACAGGTATAAGTATATACATAATAAATGAGTATGAATAAATGGGAACAGTAGGACAGGGACAGTAGGCACACTGGTGCGCTTATGTACGTTGTGCAAGTTGTGTCAAAGCCTCTGCCCTCCTCCCCACTCCCATTTTTCTCCTCTCCCATCAGCGTCTCTGCTTGATTCATTCAAATACCTCAGGCTGATGTTTGCTTGGAGGGATGCTTCAAGGTTTGAAGGAGCTCCGAACTGCTTTGGGGCATCCCAGCACATCCTTACGGCAGAGATAGGTGCCTAAATACTACCTCCAAGCAGGTTAGCACTGGTGGTCACTGGTGGATTCAGAGAACCTGAGGGGAATATCGGCCACAAGTCTGCAGCCAAGAGTGAGTGACTTGTCAAAAAGATTTGGAGGTGACAAGGAAGATGGATGCCAGATAATTGCCTAAGGCAGATTTTTCCAGCTGCACTTGGCCTTCAGGCAAGAGAGTTGGCTGAGACTGGGCCAGTTGGATGAAGGTGCTGGAGATGAAAAGGAGCTGGAAAAAAAGGAGCCATGATATTGGCTTCATCTCTAGTGTCAGCTTATTTAGCATGGATGTTATTTTATAAGTCCTTGTTGCGCCAAAAACTTCTTGTCTCCTGAGATTTGGAGCAACAAAACAACTGTTTTCTTTGGTTTAGCAAACTTCAGCAACTGTGGCTTGACCTTCCCTTTTCCCCTTAAAATGTTATTTAGGGCAATGAATAGATAGCAAGAACAAGAATATTTAGACTTGTATACTGCCCCATAGTACTTTACAGCACTCTCTGGGCAGTTTACAATGAAGAAGTATTTTTTGCATATGGTCCCCAACAATCTGGGTCCTCATTTTACCGACCTCAGAAGGATGGAATGCTGAGTCAACTTTGAGCAGGTCAGAATCGAACTGCTGACAGTGAACAGAGTTAGCCTGCAGTACTGCACTTTAATGGTCGGATGCCCTTCCTGTCACCAGTGTGGAGTTTTGTTCACTCAGCAAAACTCATTACGTTGAGTTACTTTTGCATAATTTTCTTTTTCTCCAGATTATGGAAGTAACCCCCTTAATAGATCATTCTTTCTACAAGCTCAGCTCCAAAAAAAAATTTTTTACAACATGTACATATATATGCATTACTGGTTTTATAATTCACACATTTATATTGAGCTTAAGACAGTTGAAAACAAATCTCAAAAATCCTTAAAAAGAAGTAAAACATGGATGCATTTTGCTACTGCCTCCGCCACAATGTTGTTAGACATTCCAATTTTGTCAACAGCTTTGATATTTCCTATCTCCCTTTCAAGTACTAATGAGATCCAGTCCTGCATGGATTCTGAACCCAGATGACACTGGCTACCTATAAAGATTGGCTGAGATATCAGGGCAAGGCCCATAAAGTCATTCCACTTGAAGAACACTTAACTAAGCAAGATTCATTTATTTAATTTTAGGCCATCTGCCTCCAGAATGAGTTTGAGCAGCTTCAAAAGCAATAAGACGGGGGGAAAATCATATAAATCCAAACCACACTTCATATACTTTAAACCAGAATGGACACAACAAAGAACATTTTAAAGACTTAGAATGTAGACTATATAATAATAAAGTTGGAAGGGACCTTGGAGTTCTTCTAGTCCAAGCCCCTGATTGAGCAGAAGACCCCATATCATTTCAGACAGATCATTGTCCAATCTCTTCTGGAAATCCTCCAGTGATGGAGCACCCACAACGTCTGAAGGCAAGCTATTCCATTGATTGATTGCTCTCACTGTGAGGAAATTTCTCCTTCGTTCTTGGTTGCTTTTCTCCTTGGTTAGTTTCTAACCATTTTTTTTTCTTGTATGAATAGAATAGAATGAGCTGGAAGGGAGCTTGGAGGTCTTCTAGTCTAGCCCCATGCTCAAGCAGGAGAACCTATACCAGTTCAGATAAGTGACTATCTAGACTCTTCTTAAAAACATCCAGTGATTCAGCACCCACGATTTCTGTAGGCAAATGTTCCATTGGTTAATTGTCCTCACTGTTGGGAAGTTTGCTTCTCAGGTTGCTTCTCTCTATGATTAGTTTCTAACCATTGTTTCTTTTCCT